CTAACCCTGACCCTAACCCTAAGATATAAAACAGCAAGTAACGTAGTTAGAGACATGAATAAGTCATGATAGCACTGTTTTTCCCAGTTTTACGTCCGTCCGCGGATCTACTTTTTTTTTTCTGTCTGCCAGAGCATGCGCACTGATGTGGTTTTTTGAGGAAAAACTTCCAAAACGTACGAAACAGTGTGCATAACTTTCCGTACGATTTCATACGCACTGATAACGAGAATATGTTGACAAGAAAGGACATAGCAGAAGTTTAGCTTAGCTCCTCTGTGCTGTAGAAAGAGTGATCTCTTCTGCTGTTTTCTGCTGGGGTAACAGCATCAAAGCATCTGGCATGAAGCTCAAATAGCTAGATAGACAAACTGAATGGAACCTTACAGATAGGTTTACAATGGATGTACTTAAAGAGCTAAAGTTGTGACTAATTGCTAGTCTAGTGAGCAGCCCCAAATGCTGAGCAACTACATATATGACAACTGTTTTATGGTCTGGTGGCTTTTCAGCTGTGGCTTTGTGACAACAGCTAAATTGACGTATGTTGCCATGTTTGATGTAGCATGGCTACAGACTTACCGGTTAAGGCAGGTGGTGTGCTATGTTAACCTGCACACGTCAATAAAACCCAGCCTAAATTCCTGAAATTATTGTAACATTAAACAAAGCATAAAACTATTTTCATAAATAATTAGCCACATGTCATAAGTATGCTGCATTTGAAATAGTCAACTACTAATACGAGTGTAAGGACATTTAACACAGCTGTTTTAGAATAATATAATTGCAATGATATTTAGGGAGTCTTTTTTTTTTGTGTGTGCTTATTATTAAAAATGTCCAAGCTGCCCAAATGTATTTTTTGTAGATTAGGTATCCAAAACCTAGTTCAGCAGTGAACACCACTTGAAAATTAAACTCCTTTGAAAATGTTCCTGTTCTGAATTTCTGGATAAACTTAAAGAGCTCCAAAAACTCAGGGCAACCATTGATTAGGGAATGTAAATTACTTCCTAACTCTACTGAAGGACACCAAAGGTAATGTTTGACTAAAAGTCTGTAATGTCCAACTCTTATATAATGTATGTGGTCTTCTCCAAATTAGCTAGACCAAGTCTTATCCTCAAACTGTCATCCCAAAAAGACAAAAAAAAAGCATAACCATATAAAATTTTATATTAATTACTGAATTGCTTGGCATTGATACAAAAGCTTGCCATTGTTTTAAAGGTAATTCGATGAGAGCTTTTCCAGAATGATGTTTAGAATTAAACTGAAATTCCTGCCCTTTATCTTTTTGACTTGTTTGGCTAGAAGACACAGTCAGAAGTAGTGGAAGATGTAATGAGAGTAACGAATGTAGTAATATACCTTATTAACCTGAACAGAAATTTTCTTTATGCATGAAGTTTGCGTATTTTCTCTTTTCATGTGTGGGTTTGCTTCCACGGTTCACAATTAAATTGTCCAAAGGTGTGAATGTGTTTTCTTCTTGGTTGTGTGTCTCTTTGTTATGACCTGTCCAGGATGAATCCCACCTGGATGGATGGATGGATGGATGGATGGATGGATGGATGGATGGATGGATGGATGGATGGATGGATGGATGGATGGATGGATGGATGGATGTGTTAGAGTGGAAAATGTTGAGATGTAAATCAGAATTCTTTAGGGTTCTGCACCATAATGTTGGTAAAAACATTCAGTGACATTATGATCTCAGTCGAGATAAAATGGTCTATTGAGTAAAAACTGAAATGGATCAGATGAGGTATTGGGGATAAATGAAACCAGAATCCATAAAAACATAAAGCAAGCATCGAGTTGAACCACCTCAGAAGATCTTTCTGCTTTAACGCCTTCTAAAGACACGGTTAATTCACATTCTGTCCAGTCGGCAGCTCAGACTCCAGTTTCATTTAATGGGATCAGTTGAAGAAGAGCAACTGCATGTTTGAGATTTAGCTCTTTCTAAAGGAGTTTGACTCTCTTGGTCATAAAATCTTCTTTTTTCCAGCGTTATTTACTCCCAAGATTTAGAAGAATCAGAGCCTTGTATTTCTGTGTGTGTGTGGGGTTGTGTGTGTGTGTGTCCCAGGTCCTGTCTCCAGCTGCGTTTTAATTCAGTCTGTATTGATCCATATCAGCTCTCTGAAGGACTCAGTATCATCTGAATGGAGCTCCCGTATTATTCTGTTCACTGCCATAAAGGGCATTAGAGCCTCCAGAGCAGCAGATCAGCTTTCAGTCAATACACACACACACACACCCACACGCACAAACACCCTGCTCCACTGACCTCTCTACAAAGGCTCAGTTCACCCAATTTGTTAGAAACACACAGTGAGATCAAGCCTTCTTGAAAGGATTCAAAACATTCAGGAGTGATATATGTCTGATCCTCATCCTACCTTCTAGTTTCTTAGACATGCATGAACTTGAAAAAAAGGACCAGATCTTTCCAGCCAGACACTGGATCTGTGAAATCATTACTGCATCTTGGGAAAATTAATCTTAGTATTACAAGGTTTTGTATTTAATGAATGAGACATACATCTAAAAATAAAAGTTTGTAAAGCAAAGGTGATAACCAGAACTTTAGGTTTGTTGTAAGCTAACCTCTGTACTGATCCTGCTCTCAGTAACATGTCTGGATTTCAAGTATTCCCACTTGTCAAAAGGATGCACAACTTGATACATTCTGCTAATCTTCTTCTTGGATAACATCGAGATTAAGGGTCATTACCACCACTTTTTGGCCTGGAGTGTTTGCATTAGTGTGGCCCAAGAATACATGAAAGGTGTGATTCATCAGGTTATTTGCACTGAGATTAAATAAAAATTTTATTTTGACTTGAAATCTTAAAATTCTTTTGTACACTAAAATAAATGAGCTCAACTTAGCAGTTACTGTAATGTGATCTGCTGTTGGAATGTAGTCACTGCTGTTTCTTTTCTCATCTCTCAAAAAGATTGGTTGAAGGGAGATGTGAAAACTTTCACGTAAAAAAGATTGGTAAACCCTGATTTAGGAGGAACTGTAATGTTCATTATCCTGCATTTCTTGTCTTAAATCTGCAATGTTCTAAGCTTTGCTGAATTATTTATTTACTCTATGGATGAAACTAGTAAAACTGACTCAGGTAAAAGGACTAAGCTGGTTGATAATAAACTAAATCAGTTTTTTTCTCACCTGAGTAAAATTATTTTTCTCCCTGAGGGTTTCAGAGAATCTTATGTTTTGCTATCAGATCTTAAAGGTCAAGTGGAGGATGTTCTTTTTCTGGGTGCATCATTTAAATAAATGGTCCGCCTAATTGTCAATCAGTCTGGTAATATATTTACGTAAGGCCATCTTACATGCGCGTCCCGATTTTCACTTACCGGTGGTGAGTCTGACATACAGTGAGAAAACTGCAAAATTTATTTTGGAAAGTAAGCTTGTATGAGCGATGCAAACAGCAACTTTTAAACACAGCGTGCACAAGGAGAAATGGGCTCATGCATCCTCTTGCAGGAGGCGTTCCCTCTCGGCAATGGGTACAGGGTTGTGCATGTGCATTTTCTTTCTTTTTTTTAAGTTGAGAGGGCAGGTCTTTTTTAAAAGTTTGATTCCTCCATTGTACCTTGAAGAAAAAAATAGGTCATCAATATCCATCCATTTATCTCTACGTCTGTCAGTACATCAATCCACCAGGGGGCAGTACCTATCTCTTCTAGACAAGACACACTTGCTATTAAAAAAATATTCCAGGGAAGAAGGTTTCCTTAAATCAAAGTAAATAAAAGTCCCTTTAAACCCTGGAATTTTAAACGGTGACCTTGTTGACCCACCTAAAAATAACTTATCTAAAATCTCCCTCTTTGCTGAACACTAAAATAGTATTTAGTGCAAAGTATAAAGATAATAGTAGATTTAAAGATATTGTTTTTCTCAGATTGATAAGGAAATCAATGGTGATCCTCCTCCTCCTTTATCCATGCAGCATGCCTCGCTCCAGCTGCAGATCCAGGAGGAGGAGTTTTCCTGAGGTTATCCCCTGGTTAATGTGACATGTCTGTCTCGACCTTGCTGCTTGTTAACTGCCCGGATTATTATTGTGATAATGTGGCAATTAAAAGGGAAGCGCTCCAAAGGAGAACAGGAAGAGGAGATGGATGAGTAAAGATCACACGGCATTGGGAAATGCATTAAGTTAGCCATCCATTCCGATACCCCCTCCACCCCGCTGTTATTACCCCTCATCCTCACTGATATCTATTCACAATCAATGCTTTTCTGCTGCCTTGAACCCCGGGTGTAAATCAGCTGAAGGAGGCTCTTAATGAGGTGCTATCGGCCTGCAGGAGGAGTCGGCCATCTTTCAGACGCCGCCAGACAATGATAACATCATCAGCAGAGAGATAAAGAGACGATCAGTAAGGATGGGAAGGAGTGGCCACTCCCTGACAGAATCTGACAGGGAGCGGAATTGGAATGACATAACCCAGTTATAATTTAACATTAAACAGTCCATAAGATTCAAACTCAGTATGATCAACATGCAGTCCATGGGGATGGAAATGACTCTAGCACTGTAGAATTAGGCAGTTAGAGTAAAGCCCAACAGCCAATCAGGACAGAGAGTCAGTAGACACATGGTGACTCATCACCACCATCTGATAGGAAGACACTTGGTTACTGACGGATGCTTCGGTCACTGCCTGATGACACAGTCATAAAGGCCCACTGGTGACCGAGCTACCAGCTCTGCCAGAAATTTCAACGGTTCTGACATGATTTCAAACGGATCGGTTTATCTTAAAGGAACTCGGATAAGAAATATGTTTCTCTAACTTAGTTCTATGATATGCTCTTTATTCTGTTGCTTGATTAGTTCGTTTTAGCAAACATCAGCACCTTTCATAAAGAACCTGTTTTAATTTTGGACCACCTGAATGAAAACCAAACCTGATCTCTAAACAAATTTTCTAAATGTTCGTATGATTTCTTTCAGATTCTTCCTGAAGTTCTTCTTGAAGTGCAACCAGAACTGTTTGAAAAATGCTGGAAATCCAAGGGACATGAGGCGGTTCCAGGTGAGACCCTCGCCTGATTTGTTCAGGAGAAATCTTTGTCCATTAAGCCCCACCTCTTCAGTCTAACTGTGCTGTTGTTCCATCAGGTGGTGGTGTCTACTACAGTCAATGTGGACGGTCATGTGCTGGCCGTCTCAGACAACATGTTCGTCCATAACAACTCCAAACATGGCCGCCGGGCACGACGTCTGGACCCCTCTGAAGGTAAGCCATCAGAGATTCTGAGGTCCAGAAAAACCTTATGTCTGCTCAAACTTCTCTGATGTTCTGATCCTAGGTTCTGATCATCTTGACCCCAAACTTGATTCTCATGCAAAACTAAATGCTCCCTTCTTTCAGGGTCCAAACCATCCTAATAAAATCCAGTGTTGAACTATGTTTGCATGCTGAAACTTGACACTGACTCCTGAAGCTTTGCTGCAATCTTTTCTCTGAAGGATAAAAATTGAAAACCCCTTTTCCTCATCCTGAAACCTGTAAAATTTGATTTGACCTGGAGCCATCAGAGTGGAGCTTTCTCAAAATTGGCTTTGTTTGAACAGTCTTGCTCATTCAGCCTAGAAAAAAAGAAAACAAAAAAAAATCCCTTTGAGAGTTTTTGGTTCCTCCCGCTAAAGGTGAAGTTGATTTGAGCAAACTACAACACATCAGCTGGGAGGAGTCTGTCAAATATTCTGTAATTTATATGATCCTTGAACCTGATGGAAGTAAACTGTTCTTGAACCTAACTTACCAACTGTCTTCTATTTACATCCTTCTGCAGACCATTATACAGGTCTCTGATGTTAACACCACCCCTCTGAGACATGCAGGAGAGTAAAATACACCATCCCACTGCTCCAGTTGACTAATTCAAAAGCACAGAGCCCATAGATTTTTAGCAGATGGCTAGTTCTTCATAATAGCATCCTCTGTTCTTAAAACTTCAACCTAGTCAGCAAGAGTAAATCAGAGCCCTGATTATACAATACTTTGTCCTTGAACATCATAGTCCTACCCAGTAAGATCACAGGGCATGTGGTTTTAAATCATATCCCAGAGTGAAGTTCTGTGTCGCCATCTTACAAATTAATCTTATGTATTGATGTTGTTTTCGGCATCCGTTTTTTCTGATCAAATGGATTTTGAGATTAGAAGGACTCAGGATGATGATAACCAGAAGACCGGATAGCAGCAGCCATTTTCTCTATCATATATATCCCCCCTTGCAGCTTTATAACAGCCTCATGACCTGTTGGGTCAACTTCAACCCTCCGTTCTGTGACAGGACCTTACCTGAGCTGAAATCAGTTTGGGCTGAAGAAGTATATTGTAGCCAGTCTCTGCACATTAACCTGAGATTAGAGTGAAGTTATAGAGTTTAGACTCCCATGTCTGTTCCTGACTGCTGATCAGAAATCTTCTAGCGGCAAAGTTTAACTGGGTCTTTCAACAGCTGAAGTCTCTGAAGTTGCCCTCTTATTTGGTTTAACCCACCTGCAGCTCCAGTTAGGTGGATTCAACCTTCCTTTTAGCATATGGTGTCTGTCCCCCAACGTCTGGCACTACTATGCTTCTAAACCAAACACTCCTTGACACTAATCTGTCAGAGATCTACTCCATGGTGGTTGTCACCTGTGAGGTGTTCAGGAACTACATCAAACTGCCTGCTTAGCATTCAGGAGCTGAGTGTTCAGCCCTGAGAGCACTGGCTGATGCCCATAGTGTCCTGCAGGGGCCAAACGGGGCCCATTGTTTACACTCCAGAGCTGTATCTGCAGGAAGCCCAGGGTCTTTCATGTCTTCCAGACTGGGATGTTTTCAGAAGCGATAAAAGCTCCAACATCTGCTCCTGGCTTTGTCTGCAGGCGCTCACAGATAACCCCCCTCCCCTCGGGGGCTTTTTGTTTACAGCTCCAACAAAAGCAGCAGGACTGAGTGAGGAGGTGGCAGTCCGCTACTCCTCTCTGCAGCAGCTGCGACATTTGTTTTGATCCCCAACAAGGACCCTGGAGTTTGGGGCCTTTTAAAGTCCCCTGAATTAAAACTTTTTTCTCCATCTTTAATCTTGATAACATTAATAGTGTAGTTTGGTAACAGGAACATTCGAAAGAACATGTTCTAAGAGCTGGGAAATATGTGTTTGCTGCTGGCCTCTCATGGTTCTGAATGGTCTTAGCTTCTGCAAAGCTGGAAAACTTAATTAAACTCCAGTTTTTCTATAACGTCCTCCATTAGAAACACGTCTCTCCATTAAAACCACTGAGAGTTGGAGCCTCTGACTGCAGCTTTATAGATCACTTCTCATGGAGCTTTGACCGGAACGTCGGGATCATCCTCCCAATAAAATGTATTGTTCCGGGAAAACGGCCATAAAGCTACAGAGAAATATCCCGCTTCTTTGTAGCTGCTGGTTCGTCCGTCTGCCCAGACATTTATGTGGAGCAGCTGATATTGATCTGGAAAAAACAATCTTTTTGCATGTGTTAGTAACTGAGTCTCTGTGGACCAGAACAATGTTTCTGCTAATTCTGGCTAAAGTTTTAAGGAGTCAGATTATAAAGTGCTGTCCCACAACTTCAAATGTTCCAATGCCCGTATGAATTTGAATGTGTAGCAGTCGCTTATGCTGCTACTGTCTCTGTGTGTTTCGAAGCAGCCACTCCCTGCATCAAAGCCATCAGTCCGAGTGAAGGCTGGACCACCGGCGGCGCCACGGTCATCCTCATCGGAGACAACTTCTTTGACGGCCTGCAGGTTGTCTTCGGCACAATGCTGGTCTGGAGCGAGGTCAGATTCCTGTCCCAATGTCTCAGTATGTTGCATGATTTCTGCGGCATGCTCTCTGTCTTTGTGCGTTTTTTTCTCTAGAGGTTTCTGTATTTCTAGAACTGTCTGTTGAGTCATATTGAACTGTCCCACAAATCCGTTCAAATTCCAGGCAAGAATGGCATCAGTATCAGCGGGATACGTGGAAACAGTCCTAACTATGCTCAGTGTAACTGGGATTCTACTGTATTAAAAACTCATATTAAATTTTGGCTGTTTAGAAAACAAAGAATAGTTTAAAAGGATTATTTTAATTCAAAGAAGATAAATATGTTTTTGATTTTGTGGGACTGATTGAAATAAAAATAATAAAACAGAACTGAAATCTCCTCGACTGCGGTGGGTGGGTTCAGGTGTCTCAGCAGCAAATTGACATATTGAAGAGTTTAGATTTATTCAAAACTAGTCTAAAGACAGTAGGAATAAAACACAGGAGTTGCTGAAACAGGCCCCCAGCTATCTACTAAATATTTTATAGACTTTCAATGCCAAGTTTACCAAAAAAAGGTGAAACTGTCATGGAGCTCCGCATGGATCAATATCAGCTTTAACAGTTTCATGATTTGAAGAATGAAACAGATATTTTAATCAACCAGAAGAAAGGTTATGAAGTCTTATGATCGTCATCACCTGCATCTGCACATCCCCGAAAAAATAAGCAGATATGAAATAGGCTGAGCTGCAGGAGGTGCTGCGCACACAGCTCTGCATGAAATATTGAAGCTGGTCCAGAAGAGCGGAACACCTGGTGGGGGAAGGAGCTACGATCTACCTTCGCACAATGTTTGGCCCCAAATCATCACATCACACACAGCTGACGGAGCCGTTTGCTTTGATCACCGTCGTCAGGCGGCGAGCGCACATACTCTGAAGCCTGACACAAGGCTGCAGCGCATGTTTACCCAGATTGGATGGGAGAAGAATCTCCTGCTGGAGGGCTGAAGGAGCGATACCGTCTGATGGGTTGTCTCTCTCTGCTCAGCTCCAGATGTTCATCCAGCAGATTGAAGGAAGGTGTTCATACTTAACTGTTTTCCTATCTGGTACAAGTTTGCTTTTTTTAACATCTGAAGTTCTACCTGACCAGAACTCCAGAATATCTACATGATCTGCTAAAAAAAGTGTCCAACATTTCAAAGACGGAACAACATGCAAAACATCAATGTGATTTTGCTCCCTAATAGCTCCAAATGAGCCGAAGGCAGAACGTGAAGCTTTAAAAATGATATAAAGGTTCTGTGATCCAAAACAGGTTTTATGATAGGATTTTAGTGGTTAGTGCTGAACATTTGCGTTTGAGAAAGATCTAAGTAACCTTTGGATCACTGGGTCCATAAGCTGTGGTGCTCAAAGCTGTGCACTGAATATGGTTCTAATAAGGAAGACACATTTTTTTTGTTATGCCCACTTTCTATTATTAACTCAATTATCCTATGAAGTGATAGAAAGCTTATGGGGTTGTGATCATAGACAGCCATGAACCGGACACCATGAACCCAAAATGATAGAGAAGGAACATCCACTGGATATGGATGAAATCTTAACAGCCTTAAAAGTGGCACCATGTGAAACCAGAACCCATCTCACCAGACCTGAGTCACCAGCTTTATTTATTTTTTTCTCTTTAGGAAGATTCTATATTTCTTTTGAATTGTTATTTCTGCTCTGCGTTGTTCATAAAGAGAATGTCTGACGATAAAGGGTCGGTTACAGCTGCTCTAAACATCTATACTTCTTTACTTTCTGCAGCTGATCACACCCCACGCCATCCGGGTTCAGACTCCCCCTCGGCACATCCCTGGTGTTGTGGAGGTCACACTGTCCTATAAGTCCAAACAGTTCTGCAAAGGAGCACCAGGACGCTTCGTTTACACAGGTAAGCTGTCTTCAGTAAGCTGCTAACTGGAGCACAACCATTCATGTGATGAAGCTGATAACGGTTTCAGCTTCCGAGCATCTACAATTCAGTCATTGAACTCATTCCATAAATAACAGACGCACTCCCATCATGATTCAAAAGGCCAATCACATAGCCCATACACAACAAAAGCCTCCAACAATCTAGAAAAACAATAAGTGGCTATTTGATTTTAATTTTACTTAGAATATGCTTAAGTACATCAGCGCTCCAGCTACTGAATTAAAAAAAAATAGGTGTCAAAATGTTTTCAAAAACTGATCGAAAGTCTGGTTACCTCCCAATTAAAGCCTGTTTTGTGGTTGCTACAGTATGACCCAGCTGACTGAGAATTTACACATGCAAGCGGAGAGATCTCAGCTGATTAAACAGTAAGACTGTGGTGAGGGTCAGTAGAAATGTAAAGACTGCATTTTAATCATCTGATTATTTTAAATCTGACCTTAAAAAGGGTTAAAGCGGCCCGTTTGTGCTGTTTGGATCTGACCCTAAGGCCTGTTTGACTCAAGAAGATCTGACCTCAGAGAGACAGATTAGATCTCTTTCTGAATTGAAATTCTACTGGAGTGAAATAGCGTTTCTGAACGCTATTAATCTTCAGGGTTCCTAATAAACACTTTGGCTCAGTTCTGCAGCACCCTGTACTATTCTGGGCCTTTCGAGTCAATGAGTCAATGCAATCAACTGGTTTTTCTTAGATAGAAAACTCTGAAGCAGTTTTACTGTATGATCTGTTGAATTGTCTCTGTAAAGTGCTTTGACATGTGCGGTGATTTGGTGCTATATAAATAACATGAATGGAAATGAACTGAATTGAGTGTAGCTGAATGTTTAGTTGTTTCCTGATGCAATGTTGTGGGACATCTGTCCAGAGCGGAAACTAAAGAGTAACCGAGAAACTCAGAGTAGCCAACAGATGAAGAAGACCTCAGATAGCACTCAGTGCGTGAACATGTCATAATTACATCAAGACCTAAAAAGTTTTTTAGAACTGATGAGGAACACAAGCTAGTTCTTCTTTGGAGTTATGGATCGTGAAAAAGGTAAATTAAAAACATATGGATCATGAACTATGAGCTCGAACTCAATTAGAGGCTTGAAGAGGTGAATCTTCTCCAACAGCTGGAGACTGGATGTTGTTTAAGCTGCAGATCTTCTGAACTCCTCTCTGGTTTTCATTCCTGGGTTCCACCCGAGGCCTCCAGTTCCTCTTCCTTCTGGTGTCTGCTGTTTTTTGGAAGTTCTAGACCTCCTCCCTGGTTTAAGTTCTGAGGTTGTTGGCTTCAGTAAACATGTTCCCCAGAGTTTCTTCCATCTTTTCTACCCTCGCCCTTCAGACTCATTGTCAGCGGTATCTTCCTCTCAGATCGGAGCTGTTCCTGCCTCCGATTATTCCCTCAGAAGATCCAGATGTCATTCAAAGTAGCAGAAAGGTCAGATGGAGGGCTGTTTGGTGCGATAAGTAAATGTCAACGCGTCGGGCCACGATGGAGGGGAGCGTGTTTGGATGTCTGTTTAACACCGTTTATCATCTCTGTCGAAGCGTTGCCTCCTCCGACAGCTCACAAAGATGGACGGTCACAATGGACGCACCGTCCGCCTCCTTTTGCAATGCTAATCTGTGATCCTTGTCCCAGATAGAAAGACGGAACTGAGAGGTTTGAATAGAGCTGCTGCTGCTGGAGGATTTTCCCCTTCTTAGCAACCTGTCAAACGGGTTAAACATGGCGTTCACATCAGTTTGGAGCCAAATCTGAAACATCCAGGATGGAACAGAACATTTCTTTCTTTCTGTGTTACAATCTAACTGACAAAATAAAATAAATAAAATCACGACAAAAACTAAATCGAAAAAACTTCCACAGTCAGAAATGAATGTATAATTAGTACAGTAAACCCTGAAATAAATTTATTTCTTATCTTGTTGCAAATCGTCCTGTTTCAGGAATCTAACCTCCCAGGCTACTGGAACCACCTAAAAGAAGAAGAAACAAAGACTTTGATAGAAAAAAGTTTATTCTATAAGATTTCCAGACCCTGTTTTAAATTAGTCTGATAAATTTCAAGGTGATCTTCTGGGCGTTCTTCCAGAGGGTCTTGGGGTCTGTTCTCACAAGGTTGGAGAACACAGGATGAGTTTTAAACCTGGACATTTAGTTCTTGAAGTGAACCTCAATGTTTTCCTGGGGAGGCTTCAACAACCTATCAAGACCAGGAAAAATAGAGTCACAAGAAAATAAAATACCATTGTCTTATTTGTATGGTCTTGAAAAAAAGTAAAAGGTTAACAAGAGCTTTCTAAAACAATAGAATATAAGGAAATTCATTTTCCTTCAATCGATAAGCATAGAAAGGTCACAGTAGATTTGTGGCAGACAGTTTGGTGTTGAAGGGCTCCTAAAACTAGTTGAGGTGTCGGTCCTACTCTCTCCGTCTCTGTCATACTAAGTGCTTAACGTTCAGACGTTATCAAACATCATCATCTACCAGACAGGCGATGTAACAACACACCTTTTTTTTCTGTCCACTTCTCCATCAGCTGTTGCCATAGAAATGTATTTGCTACCTGCTTAAAGTTGAAAAAAACAGATTGCAAAAGTATAAGAACTGCAAATTAGCTCTGTCTGTAAATGCAAGTAGTTCTACAGGTTTCTAGGACTTTGGCTTCTCAATGGGAGTTCTGAATTCAGTTTACCTGGCTGGTCTTTAAAATGTAGTCATTCACTTAAATTCACTAGCTTTATGTACATGTGAACTGGAATGATCCCTCAGATTTTAACTGGGTCTAGAGACCACATCCTATCTTCACATCCAGTTCTCCATCATTTGAGCTGAGTCCCCAACACACAGCTCCAGGCCTCAGATGTGTCTTCTAAATGGTGTAACTGCAGGATTATGGCTTCCTTAGAAGATATATGAGGCCTCAAGAGGACTTTTTACGTGGCTTCAGAGGTTCTTCATGATTTTCAGGCTGATCTTAGAGGAGGTAGGCTCCTTGGAAATGATCAGATGTTCCTGATCAGAGTTTTCGTTATACCCCGGGTGGATGGAGCTCTTGCTCGTTAATGTTTCAATCAAATTGATAACGAAAGATCTACTGGGTTCCCACAGTCCAAAGATGACCACATGGTCTTCCATCAGATGCCAGGAATCCGCATTATGTGTAAAATCCATGCACAGATAAGCAGTGTTTCCTTCTCCCTCCTCCCTCAACAGCCTCTCAGGTGCAGCTGGAGGTGATGAGCAGTGAGATCCGAGTGTTTCCCACATTCCTGACTCTCTTCCTCCCCGTGGCTTAAAGCAGCTTGAGGATTTGATCCCGCAGCTTCACTCTGAGAAACTGGCCGAAGGCGAGAAGTGCTCCGGAGAATGACAAGAAGCCTGAGAGAAGAGATGAAGCTAAACGGATTCATCCTACAGCTTTCTGCTCATCATCTACAACTCTCAGTCGTTACGCTGGGTTTATCCACATTCCCAGGCAAAAAAAAAACAAAAAAAACAAGCTTCCTCTCGCTGTGCCGAGCTGTTTAGACCAATTATGGACAGCAGATCAACAGACTGGTTGTTGCTTGGTAACAACGAAGGTTCGATACCCAAATGAGCGCTCTTGCGATCCATAAATTAGGATGTTTCCACATGGAGTTTTCAGGGTTTTTCTGCAGTGCAGTATCGTGTATCAAAGAGGATTATGATACTGATAGAAGTACTACGTCGTATTCCATAGTACTAAATGGTGTGTGTGTAGACCCCAATTCCCAGTCTCCCAGTTGATGTGCAACGGGTCAGCCAGAGCTGCCGGGTCGACGCCAGCGCCTTGGAGCTTGTTCTAGCACAGATCGATGAGGCCCGATGAGGGAGGACGGGTGAGGAGACGGGAGGTTGTGGGATCGATGGGTGCTAAGTTATTGCAGCGCTTGGCTGCTGATTTTCAGAGAGCTGTGTTTTCCCAGGAAAGTCAATACCTCCAGGCTCCCTCATTAATTTCGACCTGCTGCATCCCCACAGCGGCTCCTCGCTCCGCCTGCAGCTGCACCTAAGGTTCGGGGCCCAGGAGACGCCAGAGGAGGGAAACTGAGATGATGAAGTCAGAGTCAGATGACAGGAAAGGAAGAGAGATAAAACCAGGATGGTCCAGTCAGATCAGAATTTGTTCTTTCCTTGGGAAAAGATCCAATGGACAGGAATAGTTGTAGTAGTACCAAAGTGGACCTGAATGACTTAAAATCGGTACCAAACCTAATGCTGTGTGTAAAAGGAAATTGGGGGGTTTCTTTGTTGACATCCCAGTAAAATTTCTGGTAGTTCTTTTAGGCTAATTTGATTCTGAGATGTTTTCCTGCCCGATCCTTTGGAGGTAAACTTCTATTCTGATGATGGGGTATTTTTTGTGACCCAGTTCTGAGCTGCTTTGAAGTTCTGTGATGTTCTGCTTATCTATCCTCGGCATGCTGTTTTCTTGTCAGACATTTTCCAGAGTGGGCGCCTAAATCCCTCAAGGAGCTCCCTGAGATTGAGCAGTTCTTTCCTCCACTTGAACAGGTCATTGTTTACTGAAGGAACCGCACTGCTCTTTGGACCAGCCTGTAAAGTCGAAGTGTTCTGATATGGAAAGTTCCGTTCTGTTTTCAGATAAGAAAATTATTGTTCCTTTTTGTTTTGCTTCTCAGAGGTCAAAGATCCAGATCGATTATAGGTTCGGGATTGACAAGAACCTATAGATTCAGGATCTTGTCCAGCCTGAATCTGTAGGTTTAAGTAAAAGTCCAAAGCCTGGATCCGTCTCTCTCAGCTCCTCCCCCTCCAGCAGCGCTGTCTCTGCTCCTTTAATCTACAGCTCTGTTCACTAATTGACTTCTGAATTTTTATTGTTTAATTACTGTCAGAGTAACACATGGAGGCAGTTAGGTGTAAGCGGCTGCAGATCGGCCACCATGCAGCAGCTGACAGAAACACAAGGA